ATCTTTGTTTTAAACCTACCTATCTACCTATCTTAAACCTACACAAACACTGAATTTCTGGTCTAGCTCTTTGCCCTTCTGAATATCTCCCCCCTGTCACTTCTTCCACCTCGCCTTCTCTGTCCACCTCTGCTTCTCCCTTATCACATAAAATTCTTTATTGAAAGGGGGGAAATTGTAGTATACAGATCCCAATGGAACCTTTCCTCCTGTAATATTTGTAAAAATACTACAGCAGCAGCAATGTACATGAAAAACAGAAGACGATTGAACCATGAAAACACTGGAAAGTGAAGAGTGGGAGGGAGAGTTGTAGCCAGAGGAGGAACAAAATACTGCGATATGGCCATGCAGTCAAAGAGGAAATACATGACATTCACCGGTCAGATTTGACTTTGTTTACCTGCCTCGGAAAGATAATCCAACAAATCAAATTTGATGGCAGCTGTGCTTCAAGCATTAAACACACAATGAAGTGTTGCTCTTGTTAATGCTGTCTCGTATACCAGTCATGGCCATGAGAGTCAAGTCTTCTAAGCATCTCTAATGAGGCTGCGTGTGCTTGTTCAACTAAAAATGTTGTGGGACCTCTGCGGGATTTGCAATCCTGTCTTCAAGATGATATGTTCATTTTTTTTCTATTGTTATTTTGCCAATTATGTTTTAAAAGGTAACACCAAAGGATTACATTATTTGGCAACATTAATGTAGGAGGCCTTAATGTACTGCACGACAGTTAGCTTGCTAAAGTATCAGCTTTTTCCATAGACAGTAAATTACTGAACAAAGCCACCCAGTGGATTTGAATGGAGAACAATGATGCCAGTTCCGGTCCCATGAAATACCACTACTGGGCTTCTTCCTGTTGGCACCAGTGTCTACTGCGCATGATCGCGCAGCATTAGCGTGGTTTAGTGACTCAGAGCAACGGCAGAAACACTATAATTCTGGTAGCTGCATACACAGGGTTTGGCCATCATTTTTGGGCCTACATGTAACCCTCCATGCAGGCTATTGTCAGCTTCACTGTTACAACTCTGGCTTACCCCCTTGGCTTTTTCATACAACAAGGCTGTGTCCGAAACCACCACTCATTCACTACTCCCTATCTAGTGAGTTGTATTTAGTGGACTATATAGTGAGCTCACCCGTAAAATGAAAGCAACACTTTCGGACACTACTGCGATCATTACCTCTGCGCTGTTAATTACGTCATTGCTGTCGGACAATCTGTCGGTTGCCTGTTTTCAGCGCAATGCATTATGGTACATAGGGCTTGGCTGGTGACCATCAGTTGTACACTAATTTTCAAAATGCATTGTGGGATATTTTGAGTGGACTATATAGGTTGTAATAATTCTCACCATTCTGATAGCACTACAAAATAGCGAGCTCACTTTATAGTCCGCTATATAGTGAGTAGTGGATGATTACGGACACAGCCCAAATGTAACATTGCAAATGTTTTGTATGGAAGCCCTAAATGGCCATCGATTCAAATATTTACTCCGTTTTCCTGTGATAACGGGATAATTATCTTGTGATCTTGAGATAACAAACCATCAGACGTCAGGCAAATGTGTAACATTAAATGGATTCCCCTGAATGAGAAGCACAGGAATTCCCTCTGCCTGGAAATGATGGGGAAATTAAGTCCTTTTTATTGATGGATGTGGACCAATCGCTCGACTGCGCATAGTCCAATATGTGCTTTATTGTGAGTATGTGAAACAGTCTCTTCATAAGAACTTATTTGTAGAGAAAAAGTTGGTCGTCCGTGAGGATCAAACACACAACCCCATGACTACAAGTCTACTGTTTTGTTATGTCGAGATCACGAGAAAATTATCCTGTTATCACACACATTAACACATTAACAATAAAAAATAAAATGATCTATTTTCAATGGATAACCTCTTGAAATAGCAAAACTGGTCTAAATTTATATGGTGTGACTAGTGTATAATTGTGGAAAAATGTGTAAACACCAAGTAATAAACGCTTTCCAGTTTTCCATTATTCCGACACGGTGCCAAAGAGAGTTCTTATCTTTCTGTTTGTTTGGGGGATCTGTTGTTACTTTGCTGCCATATGCCTTTGGAAGAGTTCTGTTATAATGTGTGAAGGTGTGTGTCGATGAGCTGTTCATGCATGTGTGAACATAATGATGATGATAGTGAACATTAAATAACAGTGACACAGACCACCGACATTAACAGGATAACTGAGATCCAGGAGCGGAGATTTATTAAAAATATGAAAAGAACAAGACAGAAAGATCCTTTAATACTTAAAAAAAAGCACTAGTCTATTCATCCACTGTTTCATCCTGTCAGGGTGTCACAAGCTTTACTTTCATTAGCACCTAATGAAGGACCTTACTGTTGTCACTTGCAGAGATCCTTTCACACTGTGATTCAAAGAAAAGCACCCTGTCCTTTCATACTGTCACAGTCTATGAACACACAGAGTGGCTTTTCGTTACTTGAAGAGCCATTAGGGCATTTACAATAACAGCCCTTAAAGTGCCATTTTCAATTGATGCAGATGATGAAAATGTCATCAGCAGCTTGGTGTTAGTGTGCAAACAATATCGAAGATGCAAGAGAAAATGTTCTAAAAAGGAGAGTTCAAAGTCACATTTATCCAGCAAGTTGTTTGCCTCATCACAGCTTTGGCAGGAGAACCTCCAGCTGTAGCCAAAAGCTGTGTTTTATTATGAATGAGTGGTGGTGTGTCTCTGCGCGCTGCTGTTTTAATTGACATAGGACCAAGCAACTTTGATGTATGAGGCGTAGTGGTGGCGGAGAGAGACAGGCTCCTCATTACTGTTCTCTTCCCCCTCTTCACACCTCCCTCGTTCTAAGCGACGGAGGCTGCAAGGAGAGCTTGTTAGCCATGCGAGGGGAACAGCAGAGACAAAGCGTGGGCAGAGAGGAGGGCTGAGGACGTCACCAAATCAAACACCCCTTCATTTTCCCAGACTTGGGGAAACCTCTTATAAAATTAGTCAAGCAACAGTCAGGTGACTTATTATATTAACTGTATGAGTTTCTATAGTGATAAAATGGTTCTTAAGTAGATATGTGAATGTGAATCTGTCGTGGATGGCTGAGTGCAGCAGGTAAACTGCAGTGTGGGCCCAAACGCAGACATAGACGAGGAGGACGCAGTTCAAACCAGGGATTTATTAAAACAAACAAAGCAGGCTTACGCTGGGAGCACAGCGGCAAAAATCCAAACAAAGGAAACTCCAAACCAAAACATAATCCACAGGGTAAACCAAGAAAACAAGGAACAAAGTACAATCCACAGGGTAATATCCAAAAACACGGAGAACAGAGCAAGGCATTACACTCAACAGCAGACGAGGACTTAACAAAGACTGAACAGAACATGCAACACCAGGTAACGAGCAGGGTGGGACCAAGACCAGGTGGAGGACATGAGCTAATTAGACAGAACACAAGCAAGCAGGTGACACCAAATGAAGGGAGCAGACAGGACCAGACCAAAATGTAGAAACACCAAACAAACACCAAAACACAAACTAAACATAACAGGAAACAAGTACGCAAGACTAAACACTGTCAAATAAACAATCACCAGACAGAGAACACAAACCAACCCTTAGAAGAGAGAAAACTAAATAATACAAATAAACTGAAACCAAATAAGCAACACACTAAAGCTAGGATAAAACAACACAAAGCAGACAAGACCACAATATTACAAACACAGAACCAGGAATAAATACAAAGACATGAACTAAGACACAAAACCAAAATACAGGGGGGAAAAAACTAAGATACAAGACAGGTACTAAGACAACTAAACATGAACAAAAGAATAAACAAGGCTACAAAGAAAAACACAAAACCCCAAACCATGACAGACTAAACACATGAAAAACATGAGCACAAAACCAAAGTCCTAACAGAATCACTACTTAACATTGCAAGTACTGTAGCTTTAAGAAGTGGTCAAACAAGTAGCTCTTTGATTGAATTTTAAGTGTGCTGCCGCTGCATAAAGAGAAAGGAAAGGTCCAGCTCTCTGTCTATAGTCAGGATTAGATCAAAAGCCTGAAAATATTCTTCAAAATTAAAAAACTTCTTATCAAGTAATTTTTCTCTGTAATTGTCATTTTCTTAAAACAGGTGAATATTTGGCCCATGGGGATGATAATTTCCCGATGCAAATCAACTTGTTTAAGGAGTTCCTTTTGTTGAGTCTGATACAACCTCCTGCCTTATTCGTTTTGGTTTGGAGGTATTGACACACATACCTAAAACATTTGAAGCAAGACTGTTCCACAGAGAGTTTGAAATAGTACAGAGTTTACAAGTGTTATTAAAACAAGTTGTTATAAGTCTCAATAGTTGACAGAAATGGCTTGATAAGATGGTGATTTATTGTGGTTCACATTGATTTAACTTCACAAATACTTGACTGAAAAAAACTCTGTTAAGTACATTAACGGGTGGCTGTGGCTAACGAGGGTGTGGCTCAGCAGATAGAGCGTATCGCCCATTAATCAGAAGGTCGGTGGTTCGCTCCTGCAGTTATTATATACATATTGAAATTGAAATGTCCTTGGGCAGGATACTGATCCCCCAAATTTCTCCTGAAGGCTGTACCGTCAGTGTTTGTGTGTGTGTGTGCGAATGGTTAGTTCCTTTCTGATGAGCAGTTGGCACGTTGCATGGCATCCACTTCATCAGTATATTATTGTGTACGAAAGGGGTGAATGTGACATGCAAGTTGATGTAAAAAGCTTTGAGTGGTTAGAAGATTAGAACAGCGCTAAATAAGTACAGTCCATTTACCATTACTTTCCCTCTTCTCAGAACAAATAACATCTATCATCTATTTGTAGAAACAAAATATGTCCGACCATATTTAATACAGTACATTCTATTTAACTACTTTGACTCTCTACCTGTACTGTGAGCTATCAGTGAAACTAATGTGTGATAAATGTTGTCTTCATGTCTCAGGTTGTCCAACTGAGTGGGATGATATTCGTTGTTGGTATCATGCTGAGGTGGGACAGGTGGTCAGCGTCTCTTGTGCCAACGTCTCCCAGCTGTTTGCTAATAATCAAGGTAAATCACTCAACTTACGTTTCACATACCTGGGTAAGATTTCAAAGCACAGCCACGAAAGGCATAGATGCATTAAGAAGCTGTTTACAGTCTCCACGGGGCCTTTGAAAGAAATGAAAATGAGTTTTGTCTTGTGTTCTTTTATCCTCAAAGAAATATTGTGAGCCAGGCTCAGGTGTGAGGAAGTTTCGGAGACTGATGAAGACTTAGCATGGTTTATTGAGCCCGGCTGAGGAGATACAGTGCCAGCATACAACACGTGAACACGTCAAATGTCAACACCAAATCTGAAGGATACCATCGTTTGGTTCCTTTTTATGTTTCTGTATTCTCCCAAGTGCCTGTAGGTTTCCCTATTAGGTCATCTTTTGCTGGCCTTAACTTAGAACAACTAATCTATCTGATGTTTAGACTCCGATGCTTTGTCATATTGGAATCTATCACTACCCATGAGTTATACTCTAATCTGAGTTAGTGAGTTCTTGTAAACATTCTTGTTGGACTTAACCTTGTAAGATTCCCAGAGAACACTGATATCTGCTAGCCTGACGCCTGAGCTACTGTCTCTACCTTGTCAATCTAACTGTTGTCTCCCTAACTAGGACAGTTACATTGAGAAATACCTAGAGCTAGAAGGTCAGAAAACACTTACGGGGTCAGCTACATTACTCTAAGATAGACCTGTCTTACCTTTCCTTGTTATCAACAGAACCCCTTAAGCAATATTCTCAACACTGCTTATGCCTATACTGTATTCCCTTCATTGATGTTGTCAGCCAATACTCTGTCTTAAGGTAGCAACAACTGTTACTACTCCAAGATGGCATGGTGGCGAAGATGTGTGTGTGTTTGTCTTGTGTGAGTAGCTGGTGTTCTTCTTTCTAGCTATGCCCGTATTGGTTGGTGACTATTATCAAGGACTTCTCTGTGTATTGTGGATACTTCCCTGAAACCTGTGTTGTGTTAACAAACGCAGACATTTGGTATGGATGTGTATGCTGTATACTGTTACTGTCACTGCCTCCTCACCAGTAGGTGTCACTGTATGGCCTGCGTATAGAGTGAGTAAAGCCCCTCAACAGTTTGCCGTGTCCAGTGCTTGACTCAACAATGGAACAACCTGCATTACCCGTTGTGAAATGGACTTATTATTTTACAGTAGATCCCTGTCTCCTCCAACTGGCAGCTAGTTAACAAGCCACTGTTAGCGACCACCACTACTGTGCTCATGCTACTGTACCTGGCTGTGCTGTGCAGATGGGATCCATCTGCCTGGGGGAAATCTCAGTGCAGTGCATTGCCCGCCAGGAGGACACCTTCGTAGCACAGTACATTATTACAGTATTGCTTATTTATCAACTAGTCCTCAGGCTGGAAACCTGCTCCATGCACATACAAAGCACTCTCTTCAATAAACTCTCTCTTTATCTCTAGCCATTATAAGGTATTTCAACATGCCTTGTTTGCTGTTACTATAGTTTGTATGTTCTTACTAGTCTTAACTGTTTCCCTTCCCTGTAGATTCCTTAGCCCTCTTCACTACCATACAGAGAACCCTCTTGCCCCACCCCTCACAATGTCAGAATTTTGGTTTAATTAATTTCGAGAGACAAAACCTCCATTTCTGTCACTCAATACTTACTTAACACCCATTCTGCCATATCGCTGGCTGCCCACACGGCGCTGAATCTATACTTGGTCGCATACTTATCTCACTCCTCCTCCTCTATTTCTCAAGAGACGTAGAGCTAGATCAAAGCCCTTTAGCTCTTAGTGCTGTGCCTACTCCCCAGGTGCTTTCATTTGCTGACTTCTGTAACTGTAAAAAAGTCTTGGCTTCATGCACATTAACATTAGAAGTCTGCTCTCTAAATTGAATTTATATACTGCCCTTGCACTCTCAGCCAACCCTGATATCTTAACTGTTTGTGAATCCTGGTTTAGGAAGTCTATCAATAACAATCCCTAACTACAACTTTTTCCATCTAGATAGAACTACTAAAGGGCTAGGAGTTGCAGAAACAGCAGCACCGAGCAGTGGCCTGGACATCAAATACGAACTGATCGACCCCCCACTTATCCTCAGAGTTCTTACTGCTAGGAGACTTCAACTGGGAAATGCTTAATACCCCTGCCACTTTACATTCTAAACTTGATGCACTCAATCTGACACAAATTATCAATAAACTTTCTAGGTACAACCAAAAATCTAAAAACAGGGTCTCATCCTCTCAGTAGCCAATGCATTGTTGTTCTTCAAAAGTGATTTCCTCTGGTTCACACCAGACCTGACCGCCCTCAACCAGCACAAAAACATCTTGAAGCCTGCGTCTTCTTTCCACCAGGCTTGCTTGTCCGAACCAGTCCCACCCGTGGCTGACTAATACTATCCATAGCACAGATCTCAGAGTTGCTGAAAGAAAATGGTGAAAAATGAAAGACCTTGCCGACCTTAAGGGCTAAGAAATCCTCCTATCCTCCTTCTCAACCAGCATTAGTGCTGCCAAAACTGCGTTGTATAATGACCAAATTAGCAGTGCCACTGACTCAAGGAAATTATTTTCCACTTTCAAATCTCTACTCTATCCTCCTCCGCCTCCACCACCCACAAACCTGTCTGCCGACACCTTTTGTTTATTCCCAGGCAAATTGACGGTTATAACTAGCCTATTCTCTAATTCAGCTACGTTCAGACTGCAGGCCTTAATGCTCAATTACAATTCTTTTCCCAGACCAACTGACCTACCTCTGTGAATGGACTTCACCTGAATTTTGTATTTTTGCATTTGTATTTGTGTGTTTTAAATGTGTAACTACAAATACCACACACTGTACTGCATCTTGCAAATGAGAATTTGTTCTCAATCAGCTTACCTGGTCAAATATAGGTGAAATAAAATAAACCAAAATTTAATAAAGGCCATGATGACTTTTGCTTGTAGAACAAGGTTTGTGAAACTCGAGAAAAGAGTGTGACCATTCAGTTGATCTTTCAGTTTACAGCTCAGCAAAGTGACCTGGTTATATTTAGATATCTCTAAGCACCAGTGTTATACTTTCACTGAGAGGTTTATGGAGACGAGAGGTTTTTCTCTGCAGATCACGTGGACCTACAGTATGTCTGAACTTGGCTAAAGAGAGCGCTGCTCTACTGACTGTTTACATGACCCATACCTTCTCCCAAGCCCTGTCTCATCCAGCTGGCTGGTCTAAAGAAAACAAAAATATGCTCAGAATCTCTTGTGTATCAATGGCTGACTGTAAGAAACAGATGCAACTGAGATACTGTGTTTCTGGACATTTAGGAGATGAACGATGGCAGAAAAATCAGCATGTTGTCACAAACAGACCCAGTGGAAATGTAGAGGAGTGGGAAAAGAGGCAGTAAAAATGTTATTCATCTAGTCAAACATAAGAATATACACCAAAAATATGTAATCTGTATGATTATCCACGCAAAGACAAACACAGGAGTTCCATGCAAATTTTCAATTCAGCTCTGTGACAATCCTGTGTCTCTTTAATGAATTAAATAACTAAATACATGAAGAAAACAGTCTGTGTGCTGGCTTGACTTCAGGAAATCACTAGATAATTGTTATAACCAAACAAAAGGGATCTTTAGCAACATGTTTGTTAATATTATGTGTTTATGTCTGGGGAAATAAATGACTTCATATGTCATATCATGGTATTGTTAAACTCTCAAATATTGCTACCCAATCTCCTTGACATTACATTTTAAATACAACTAATTTGCAACAACAAATATGTCTTGAAGGAATCACAATGGATTACGTTTGCTATTTTGCTAACTTAAATGCAAAAAATATTGACACTGAATATATCAGTAAACTGTTCACTGACAGACAACATATTTAATTTGATTCCTGACAAAATACTAGATCTTGTAATAGAATATCTGTTATTAGCCACTACAGCATTAATCAGCTTTTTTATGGTTATGTTGGCAGCACTGGGTTAAGGTTAAGGAAATATCATGGTCTTAGTTCAATACAGAAAAAAAGTCCTTACTTTATTGCCAAAACCTGACTGACTACAGGAGTCAGGGTTGAATATTGAAGCCGGTATTGTTCAGGCACTAGCATTTTTAGACTGCACTCGTACACTTTCTGAAAACAAACCAATGACAGGAGTTGAAGCCCTAACTCCTCCAGCAGAAAGCTGAATTACTTTTCACAGAAGAGTCAGTAGCCGCAGAGAGCATGTTCAGTATGTGGGATCATATGCCTGCAATTGATGCACTTGACTGATTTCCAATAGCAATGAGAAGGAAAGAAAAAGAAGAAAAAACACACAGCAGCTCTTCCGTGAAAGTCAAGCGTATACTTTGTGTCGATGGACCAGCAGGCGGAGGTTGCTGTTGATGATCTCATAACTTATTGTTAGTGGGTTCCCAGACCCCACTGGATTTCCTCCTCCACAGAAACCCGGATAAGTCAAGCGTTGTAGCTGTGCAGTTAGAACCAGCCTACCCAAGGGGAGGCTGCGTGCAGAGAAAATAACGAATTGGAAAATCAAAGAGTTCACTGTAAGAGTCAAGAGCATGAGGAAGGAGTTGGCACTGCTTGTTAAGCATGGCGGTGTGAGCACTAGCGCCCTCCCCGGAGCCTCGGCCTTCAACCTCCATTCACATCCAACCATTCACCCACCGATGCTGCAGGCCTGAAGGCTCTACACAGCACGCTAGACTGAGGCTAATGCAGCTGGATATCGGAAAAACCACCCACGATTCAAAACCCCCACACTCTCCTCTGCTGTGCTGAGGAGCCGGACAGTTATTTCACTCTAAACTTTTTATCCTCCCTCTCCCTCACATGGATTCACACAGAAAACCTGATGACCTTATGAGCATCATAACCGTCACAGAGCTTGGTGAGAGAGCTCTGTCATTCTGACTTCAGGCCATGGTGGGAGAACATGGCTAAAAGTTTGCCTCATTTGAATTAATTTACGGTATTCACCTGACTGGACTACTGTTAGTGTTACCTAGAGACTTTAGCAAAGTACACAAAGTAAACATCTCGTACTTAAAATGTAATATTTTCTTGTACTTTTGGATGGATACAGGTGTAACTGCCTGTGTATAGGAACTACAGAGCACTCTACACAAAAACAGCCGGACACAAGAACATTTCCTTCCCACAGGCCAAAACTATGATGAACATAGTGTCACTAACTCTGTAACACTAAACTTCCACTTTAAATATGAATTAAAATACATCAAGTCTCTACTTATTCAGTCATCTGACAATGAGACAAAATACAGACAGAATGGCGTTTCTCTCCCCAGCTGAAACAAAAATCTGTTTAATTTTGTCATTTGATATTTTTGCTTTTTATCTTGTAAAGTGTCTCTATCACGCACGCACGCACACACACACACACACACACACACACACACACACACACACACACACACACACACACATACACACACATACACACACATACACGAGAGGAACCATCAAGGGTCTTTCTCTTTTCACTGTTATGGGTTTATGGGTTTTATCTCTGCATATTCCTTCTGGTTGTGTTTTTGTGCTCACATTCTCTGCTTTCCTTTGGTTCTTGTTGTTGGCGTCTCTGCTTGCCACTGAGAGGTTTATGATTAATTTTCAGGTTACATCTACAGGAACTGCACTGAGGATGGATGGTCCGAGCTCTACCCCTCCTATGAGGAGGCCTGTGAGTTCACAGAGTACGAAGAGACAGAATCAGAGGTAAATTTTTTAGACGACTTGTTGAGCGACTATTCACTGTAATTATTCCTCCCTCTTTTTCCCTTCTCATTTTGATTATTTGTCTTTCTGGGTGCTGTTATAAATGTTACCCTCAGGAAGTGGCTGTTGAAATAAGCTGAAGATGCCAAAGCATATTTTTTATCACTTCAAGCATGGCACAGCCAATAATTTTGCTTATTATGATGAGGTAAGGCTAAATGACATATGTCTGCCGAGATTCGCAGTCATCCAGGTCATAGTTATCCAGGGAGGGTTAAATCAAGGTTAACTGGACTTGATTGAAGATACTAAAAGACGTTTTGCCCACAAACAGAAGAAACCTCTTGGACGAGAGGCAAAACATCTTCAAGTATCTTCAATCAAGTCCAGTTGCTCTTGATTTTACCCCCCTTGGATAACTAAATGACAGATGTTATTTCAAGCAGGTTGTAAAATAGATGATTAACAATTCTGTCCTTCTTTGAGACATGAACATGAACCCTTCCAGGCTGGAAATTTATAGGATTGGTCATTTGTGCTAAAAATGCTTAAAATGTCTTTCCTGAAAAGTGACCTTTTGCTGTCGAGCAAATATTGACTCTCCTCTCTAAGTAACAAAGGAGGAAGTAGAGTGATGGACTTGCCTGCTCATACAGAGATGCTTTGGTCAAGGGAAATGCTTTGAACTTAGTCAAACAAGTGCAGATCACCTTTCAAACCATAAAGTGCAAGTGAAAAATGAGATATTACACCGGCAGTGTGGCACTGATTCAAAATAAAAATAAAAGCACAAGGATTTTCCAAAGGTGATAAGTCATGTCATCTAAACATTTCAAAGCGTCCAGCACATGTCTTGTCAGATTCAGCTGATACTCTGTGGTTGTTTTCCAGACTTTCCACAGAAGAACTTGGAGGATGTAGTCAGCTTTCTTCAGTTTTGCATCTAATTAATTGAAAACCCCATTCAAATCAGTCACACTAATCCTGCAGCATTGGTCATAGAAAACACATAGCAATTGCTGAAGACATGACACATGCACCTTCTGTCCAAAGTGTTGAAAAAGTTTACACAAGTTACAGCTAATTCTCATACACATACCAACATTTACCACTAAACGCTTTGTAGGTACATCATGTTCCACCAGACAGAAATGTTAAAAAACAGTGGCAGTTCCTGACTGCCACTATTCAACCTAATTCTCTCATCACATTAATTAGCAGTTGTAAATTAGCAGTTGTAAGGAAGAGTGTGAGTGCAGTTAATTGTTATGCTAAGATTGGTTTCTTTCATACTATTTTGTTTGTTTCTTGCATTTCAGACAACATACTTCTCCAACTTCAAACAGGTGTACACCGCTGGCTACGCTACCTCCCTCGTCTCTCTTATATCGGCCATTTTTGTCTTCACTGTGTTCAGGTAACAATGTTTCAGAGACTGTCCGCACAAGAACAACTGCAGCCTCAGACAAAGTGCCCTCTAGGAGTTGTAATAATCATGACGGGAGCAAAGGAGGAAGTCAGGTGACGTTATTATAGAGTAATGTCAAACTTTAACACGGCTTCTTCTTTCCAACTGCGGGTAAAATCGTGTTTTCCAATCATGACCACGATAGTTCCCTAGTAGTTGATAGTAGTTAGTCCCACCATGACGACGCAGGTCCCCCACCATCAACAAAATACTTATTTTATTTATTTTAACACGACACACAAAGTAATTTTCTTGCCTTAAACCTAACCAAACCAAATCCAAACCAAGACTTGTTGTTTCTCCCCGAAGGGTACTTGCTAAACTCAACTAAACACCGATTTCCAACCTACCGGTGGTTAAAGCTTGAAAAAAAATCCTTATTACAAATACCCCAAATGTGTTTCACAGAGCGAGATCCCTCCATTTAAGAAACCAATCTAAACTTCTCTGTGCTCTACAGGAAGTTTCACTGTACCAGGAACTACATCCACATCAACCTGTTCTTCTCCTTCATCCTGCGAGCGAGCGCTGTCTTCATTAAAGATGGCGTTCTTTTTTCTGATGAAAACCTGGACCACTGCTTCATGTCTACTGTGAGTTTGAAAGCTAACTACATCTCCATTAGTGTGTCTATATTTACCAGTGAAGGGCACATTTCCTTTACTAACATACAACAAGCGGTAACTGTGTTTAATGGACAGACACAGTACAAGTACAAGTAGTCTCGTCCTGTATTCAGTAATCCAGAGCGGTAAACATGCTGTAGCAGTAAAATGCAATTAAGTATAAAAAGTAAAAACCCTGAGAGAGTGAAGACGAGTAGATTGAGGTTCTGTTAGGTGAGTGTCATGCTTTCGGATCATTTGAAAAAGGAAAGGAAATAAAAAGACATGGCATAGGGAAGTTTATAATTATGAAGGTTTAACAGAGAGGGAATATGGAAATAAGGAAAGACATAAGGTGGAAAGAGGAAAAAGTTAAAAGAAAATATCGAGAAAAAAAGTAAAATGTGACACAAATCTTATATAATATTAGGTAATATAGTATCTACAGTCATGAAAGAAGTGGAGTTAAGAATATTATCCTCTGAGCCTTTCAAAATGGAAATTTCATCAAATGTGACCTCTCCAGGTCTTGAATATGAAAAACATTGTATTGTATTAATGCAAGACAGAAGTTAAAAAAGACAAAGTTAGAAAGAAGTGAGTTTACAAGACTCCTTATCGCTGCTTGAGGCTAGCGGCTCACTGACAACTAATTTACTTATGCTGATGAAATCCAGCTGTACGTCTCCTCTAAGCCTGATGAAACTGACAAGCTGACTTCTCTGAACAATTTCCCGACTGCCATTAAGGACTGGACAACTTTGAACAACTTTTTACATCTTAACACAGATGAGACTGAGGTCCTTATTTTTGCTTCTGACAGCTCCCATGGTTGCTGAGGGGGTATTGGGTCCTCAGCTGTACAATCAAATCTCAGAAATCTCTGTTTTCTTCTTTGTCAGTTCATTGACCAATATTTGTTTGTTTTTTGATTCAAGAAACATTGCCAAAATCAAATCTGCCTTATCAAAATCTGAACTAGAGATGATCATTCGTGCTTTTATGTCAGATTACTGCAATTCCCTTTTCATCAGCAAGTCATCTCTGAACCGTCTATAAATGGTCCAGAACGCTGCTGCAAGGCCGTTAACCCATCACACCCATCTTGTCATTGTTATATTGGCTGCCTGTTTGGTTCAGGATTCATTTTAAGTTTCTGGTTTTCACATACAGAGCCCTGCATGGTCAGGCACCTGTGTACATCTCCAACCTGCTCCACTCTTATATCAACACTAGGTCACAGAGATCTTCTAACCAGGCCTTACAAGTTGTTCCTCGTTCCTGTTTTATTGTAGTTTATTTACTTTTTAACAATCTTATTTCTTTTATATTTTATTTTGTGAACTTTACCTACTAACTGACTTACTTCAGTCAAATTAATAAAATTAGTTGGTTGGAGAGGAATAACCTGCATTTTGTTTTCTGGACACAAACGTCACTAACTCAGAAGAGCTCATTATCACAGGAGTTGGAAGGAGTAGGATTGAAATGCCAGGTGTGACTGTGCAGAGCCTGGGAGGGTATCAATGACGGTTGTTTCTTTATATATATCTCTGCTGATGAGGCGGACTGGAGTGAAGGTACAGTGAATATCCCTGTTAGCTACGAGGGACTAACATCAACACAACACTGTGACTCATTTCTGTGAAGGGCCATGAGAGAGAGAAGATAATGAGAGAAAACTCTTGTGGAAAGGGAAACTAATATATAAAATAATAAAACCAATAAAAATTGTGACAATAAAAAAGAAAATGAGTCTTCATTTATATAGCGCCTTTCATGCAAGAATGAAAGTGAATGTGAAAATACACCTACAGTAGTGATCAAACTACTTGTTAAATCTCTTTAATCGCAGTAATCAGTTACTGAATTACTATTAAAGCAGCTGGTGAATAAATTAGAATATTTAGCAGCCGAGGTGCCAGGTATTTTTCTTAGGAGTTGCTGGAGACCAAACCAGAAAAAAGGAATATTAATGATGACAGAAACAACTTCAAAATGAATGCTTCTTGTCCTCAAACATTTTCTTATAGAAGTGAAATATTATTTGAAAGCATGAACCATAAATCATAAATCTCACCTTTGTGTCACTACAATTTCTTTGTACATTTTTGTACATGGACTATCATTTTGTGAGGGCTGTCTTTTGCATGAGGCATGTAGCTTCAGCCTCAGTCCACTTAGCATTATATCATACATAGTCATTGTGTGCATATTTTAGACCATTATACTCTCATTTAAAAGTGAATCAGCTAGAAACAATACAAAATCAGCTGGAAACAATTTTTAACCAACCCGCAGAATTAGTGTTGATTAGCTAGTGGCAACTGATAAGCAGACAACATTTTCCGTTTCATCTTGAAATGAGGAGCCTGTTTTTTTTGTGTGAAATTTAGGAGTCATTGTTTCAAAACTTACTGTGAATTCCAAAGTTAGAAATCTGTCACAGGTGTAGCCAGGGGCGTCGCACAAAAATCTGGACCCTGTACATAAGCATTCTCCATGGGCCCCTCCTTGCATCCACGGCTATCCGTTCTAGTTTCTTTGTGGGCCCTCCTCACACATCAGTCCCCTTTTCCCACCCAGTCCCACATCCCTGGGTCTAGTAACAGCAGGGTGCGAACTACGGGGGAGCCAGGGGGAGCTTAGTTCCCCTAAATAAGACATCAGCTCCCCTAAAAGCATGATTTGTGATATTTCGGGGGGTCTCTAAAATATTTACAGCATGCTTTATTGCCATTAATTTCTATATATTTCTCTATCATCATGGATTCATGCGTAAATTCGGGAGTGTCAGACTTCATCCAGCCAGAGGGGATTATTACTGACCGCCCGCAGATGGCCGGTCGCTCCTCGATCTTCTGGCCCAGTACGCTCCACAGCCCCACTCCCTCTCTGGTATGGGTTGTTTCGCTAGTACGGCTGACGCTCTGTAAACGGTTTGTGTTTGTTCAGTTTGGCTGGATATTACGCATGATCCATGCAGTGCTGCAGCTGGGGCTCTCCGCAGCGCCACGCAACTTTTGAAAATTCCCTCTCACGGAGAACAGAAAGGACAGGTCGCAAACATTTGTTGTGTGAAGCGTAACTGTAGCAAAATAGCTACATATGATAATAATATAATAATAATATTTTTCTTATTATAATAATAAGACAAATTCTTATATTGTCTGTACAATAGAGTGTGAACGCAGCATTGGCTCCACATACCCTCTCAGCTATGAACACATACCAGCTGGCTAATCAGCTAAGAAGATACAACATGTAAATAAGATTGTTTTGCCCTTGTGCTAAGCTAACACAACCCCAATCGCTCTCCACAGAACACACAAATCTTATCAATCTAAATGAATGCTTTTTAACTTCTGGCAACAAACAAGATTACCCACATAATGTTAATTTTCAAATTAGTAGCCCATGCTTTTATTTGCTTCAATCAATGCGAAAAAAATCACGCTACTGAATAACAAACTCAAACAAAGAGAAAGAGAACGCCCCATATCAAAGTAGTGTTAGCCTAGAATGGATGAAAGCCAAAGGTCACTGTAATTATTAATTCATTTTTATGAAAGAACGGTTTGATTATTTTGATTGTAGGACTAAAGGAGTATAAATAATCAAGGTATGGACACATATTCAGACTTTATGACCACTTTAAAGGTAGTGCGTCTCCACTGTCTTTCGTCTCTCTTGTTTACTATGCCAGTAAAACTGAAGGAATATCACTTTGGTGTCCATGGTTTCTGTAAAATGAACTGAATGATTGAATTGTGGAGACTCGAACTGATCTTACAATGTGTAGCCACAATGACAAAAGTTTAAATAGTTATATTTGTGTGCATAATCTAAGCATCTTAAAACTAGAACTGAAGATAGTAAACCGGTGGGCTTTAAGAGGTTTTACATTGCAATCAATCTAACAGAGAATCTCCACTGACTACAATCTTAATTAGAGTGTAATATAACCCACAACCACAGCTTTAATAAAACAGGTGCCAAACTGACCCACAAATATCCTCAAAGCCTTAAATCTTGTAAAAGTGAGACCGTCGATTGCCGTCGATTAGCTAACTAGTGTACATTTTGAATTTTGAGTGATTAATCTGCCACCATTATTATGAGTGTAGGGTGAGCTTGCCTTTGGTGTGGGAGACCTGGGTTCAATTCCCACTGTGAGACATCCACCATTGTGTCCCTGAGCAAGACACTTTGCCCCTAGTTGCTCCAGAGGCGTGTGACCTCTGACATGTATAGCAATTGTAAGTCACTTTGGATAAAAGCGTCAGATAAATGAATAAATGTAAATGTGTTGTAAATTACATACACCAGTAAGTAAGGACGGGGCTTAACCTTTAGTTTAATTATTACCCACAACCACAGCTTCAATTGTTTCTGACCTAGAGGAGAATTTATGCCTAACCTGCAACCTTCTTTGCCTTCGAATGTATTATCATTACAGAAGTCCTTGTGGCCCATAAAGTGATGGGAGAGGCCATCACCATTATGACCTCTCCAGATAAATGACATCCACAGACTAATCCGATGCTTATGGCTTTTGTTGCTTTTGTTCCACAGACATCCTGTAAATCAGCTGTGGCCTTCTTCCAGTTCAGTATCCTGGCAAACTACTTCTGGCTGCTGGTGGAGGGCATGTACCTGCAGACACTGCTTGCTCTTACCTTTGTCTTCCAGAAGAAGTACTTCTGGTGGTACATACTCATCGGCTGGGGTGGGTGCCCTGCTCTCTTTCACCTGTCTCTGTTTTGTTTTCTCTGTCTTGTTAGAGCTCTGCTTTGTTTGTGCCTCCCAGGTCTCCCAACAACAATCATAACAGCGTGGATCCTCACTCGAAACTTCTACGATAACAGGGGGTGAGCTGCTGTATTAGACTATCAGAGAAAATGGCACATAAAAATGAGGAAACTTTGAAAAAGAATAGGCATTTAGGTATCCTCCCAATAACACCCACTGACATCAATTTTTGTAGCCAACCACCACAGAATCTAACATGATGCCTTCATTGAGACATCAAAAGCACTACTGGGGATATTTACCAAGAATATTTAGGTGCAAACAAATTGTGTCTGTCTGCACAGACGTTTTGTGCTGGTAAAAGCTAAGAAAAATATTCCAAGTTCAGCAGCAGATGACACTTTCTTTTGTAGTCCATTGCTTTTCAGACATGCACAACATGGTCAAAACAACCTGGCATCAGTTCCTGTTTATGCAAATCAGATGAACTCCGGCTGGGTTCATTTACATCTTATAGGTTTTATCTATTGGGCCATGAGCGACGAGTAGACAAGCTGTGCTAATAAAACTTGACAGGTTTTTCATTACAAAAGGTGTTGCCAATCTTTCTCACTTTAAAAATTACAATGAAGGAATTAAAGAAATAGTTTTGGGAATTACACTTATTGACTTTCTTGTCGAGAGATAAATGAGATGGTTAATCAACACCACTCTCATGACTGAATGAAGCTACAGCCAGCAGCCCTTTAGCTCATTAGCATAGCATTTTATGTTGAATACATTATGGTGATTGCAAGTGGAATGAGTAGATGATTGTGAAAATTATTACACAGAATACTCAGCAGAGAGAAAAGATGAATAAAAGTTAATCTTGCATTTAGATTTAGACGTCCCCGTAAGGATTTGTTTCATCTGTTTCTAACACAGCGTTCTGTCTGAGGACACTGAGTTGTTGTGTGTTTTGTGATAAGATTCTGTAACTGCCTTATTCATCTCATTACTGTCTGTTGTGTGCCTCAGGTGCTGGGATGACACAGATGTGGCCTTCATCTGGTGGATCATAAAAGCTCCAATAACTGCATCACTACTGGTGAGTATAGAGCAGTTGTAGTGGGAGTTATTGTGGAATTATAAGAGTCCTAAATCCTGGATCAGGCCTGTATTTTAAACACCAGCTAGACACTTGGGTGTTCACATTAGATGCAACAATAACAAGTCAAGGAAGATTTATTAATTTCCTACTTTAAAGCAGAGAAACTTGCTCAGTGCTCAAATGGTCGTCAAACTTGTCATTGTTGGCACTTAACACAAACTCAGTACATATTTCTCACAATGTATTTAATATTACAGTTTGAATGCCTAATTCTCTTGTACTCCAGTCCTTGACACAGCTGACCCCTCTGTCAGTCTAGAAAAATACTGGAGGAGGCTGCATGCCTTCTCCAAGATGAAGTTATAGTCAGTATGCTGTCATCCATCAGTCACGGGCTTCACTGAGAGGGCATATTTCTCAGCCACCAGGGATTGAACTAAATATAACTAACTAAACTAAAAAGGTTGTTTATTTGTCATTATACAATCCAAGGTTGTAAAACAAAATTAAAGTTTGTAGTCCCTTCATGCTACACACACACAGAAGTTAACAGATAATTAAATCTGAATTAAGACATGGTAAAATTCAAATAAGTTAAATTAAATTAAACAAAAGCCTATGAACTGTTATTTATAGACATTTGGGAACAAAGCATCATCGCTGTAAACATAAAGTCACCTCCTCTTATCTTGCCCGAGTCTTGCCCTGACAGCTCGGAAACACGGACCACCCGCCGATTGCTTGATCCAGGATGTTTACGGGGTAGGTCTCTGTAAAGATGTGGGCACAACAGTCTCTGATTTCCGTTGCTTGGCCAACATGAGTCTCATTTTGTCCAGACTTGACCTGTAGCAGCAGCCTTAAGTCCAAACTGGGCCAACACAGGCATGATTTGTACGACTAATGAAGCCTCTTGGGTGCATGTTCCAGTGGCAACATGATGTTGTGGTTTAAAGTTTTTAAGGTGTAGGTGAAACGCAAGGTATCTCAAAACCTAGGTAATCTTTAGGAGTGAGAGGTTGATTGTCACAAGCTTTCTGCTTCCGTAAAACTTCTTTCAGCAGGCCAGCAAATATAAAAAAATTGGCTGAAATTGTAGCACAAATACTGTGGTGGTTCTTTAAAGTTTTTCTTGACACCTCTTCATTTGATCCATGTAGGTGAACTTCATCATCTTCATCAACGTGATCCGTATTCTGGTCCAGAAGCTGAGATCTCCTGGTGTTGGTGGCAACGATACCAGTCACTTCAAGTGAGAATAAATATCCATCCACATGGTGACATGTAATAACACATAGATACACCTACAAATGACCTGCAGATACATAGTGTATGCAGTTTTCATGGGTCTTTTTATACAATGTGTGCAGGAGGCTGGCCAAATCCACTCTGCTTCTCATCCCTCTGTTTGGGATGCACTACATGGTGTTTGCCATGCTGCCAGAAAACACAGGAGCAGAGGCCAGAATCTTCATAGAGCTCGGTCTGGGATCCTTTCAGGTAAAACACAGATACAAATTAAAGTTATACAGGAAAAATAAAATATACATTTTCCATAGAAACATTGTCCCACTGACAACTTTGCTCAGGATGTAGACTTTAAAATTTAATGTTTAACACGTTTTGGATAATATTTTTCTGCTCTGAAGGGATTTGTTGTGGCCCTGCTCTACTGTTTCCTAAATGGTGAGGTAGGTAAACATTATGCTCATTATCATGTAAGTAAAATTAGTCATCATAAATATTTTTACTGTTTTGTATATACTTGTGGTAGTTTATATTTGTTGACAGTTAGATGACCATTCAAATGTTTTTTTTTACATGTTATCATCCAAAACATACTTTAAGTTTCTAGAATCATCTCCAAACTCTGGACAGCCATTTTAAAGATACTGTGCTCTAAAAATAAATTTGACTTTACAATATTAAACTTGCTTGAGATTCTCACCACCTTTATTTTCTGGAAAAATTTATTTTCCCCATGAAAACTTTTATGATTGGTATGACTAAGGATGCTCTGGGGTTTGAGAATGGGCTACTTAGAACCAACCTTTATGAAGACCCTGCACACTCATGCAGGTGTTTTTTTTTGTTTTTTTTTTAACCTTTTCTGGTTGATCAGGTTTCTGATCAGGTTGAAAGTGTGCAGGGTTTTTCTTCATGCATTTTCATACAAAACATGCTTGGAAAAAAAGTTGCTTCCAAAGTGCCAGTTGTTATATATAAAAAAAACAATATCAAAACAGTCGCAATAGATACACAAATAAATACTTAAACAACTGAGACATATAGCAGCTGATCTTTCTGGTTTTATAAAATGCAATTGCACTTGCCAGTAATTAAGTTAAGTGTCTTTTAGTGCATGGCAGCACAGTTATTTGGTTTCAGGTGGGCATGTTAGTGGGAGGGGGCACAGTACGTTGATGACTGTAACAGACTGTGGAAAGAAAGTGTTCAGCATCTGGCTAGACCTTCCATGCATGCTGACGACAGGAGGGACAACAGACAATAAGATGGGTGATGAGGGTCTCCAATCACCTTTCTGGCTCTGCTGATGGTAGCTCTCCGTCAAGACAGGGGCACCGATGACCCTGCTGGTAGTTTTCACTACTCGGTCAAGTTGGTGAGGTTCCGACGCCCTGCTGTTGCCAAACCAGCAGGTGAGGCCATAGGTGAGGGTAGAATCATTGGTGCCGTAGGTGACATGCCCTTCTGATAAAGCCAGGGTTTTAATAATAGTTTTCATTATATTACACAATGACAGGAGGAGGATGTCAAATGCCTCATTTTATGAAGCCAAATAAGTCATAACACCTGTGTAGGTGTATCAGTGGTGTGCAGGGCTTTGAATGCAAAGAAAAATCTCTTTTCTAAGTTAAACAATAATTTCCCTCGAGATAAATACACATCTATCTTAGAAAAAAAGAAATATCACTGCTCAGTGTAATAAATGACAGGTGGGAAATATAATATACGGTCTGTTTTGGAAAATTGTTAGAAAGTATTTAATGGGCTGAAATCTAGTTGTATGGTTCCTTTTTTAGATGTGGAAAGGAAAAGCCCAGTGCAGACCAAAAGTGCACCTGTTGTCCAATGTTGTAATGTTTCTGTATTGTTTCATGTTGGTGTGTGTGTGTGTGTGTGTGTTCAGGTGCAGGCAGAACTGAAGAAGAGGTTTTGGAAGTGGCAGACTCAGAGTTACCTGAGCTACAGTAAACGACGGCGTACGTTGTTCACCGACAGCAGCACGGTCACTCAGATATCCGTCCTGGACAAATCCAGCCCTAAAGATCAGCCGGCCTTAGAAACACACAGGCTGACATCCAGCAACGTCTCCACCGTCTGAGGAATATTCAACAGCGCTGGTCTTCACGTCCTGCTTGGTATTTGGACGATGTTCTAAGCAAGTGACTAAATCTCAGAGCCTGATTGTTGAATGTTTAAGGTACCTTAACTTCATGCAGTACGAATTATTTACAGATTCCCACATGGGCTGCCAAATGTACACGTGTTACCTTAAGTCTAGCTTTTTTATTCACATATCCCACACATCTTTCATGTTAAACTTTACCCCATTTTTCACCTTACAGGCTTTATTACAGAGCAGTCACATCTTCTATTGCCTTTTATGTTTATCATAGGTTGCTATTGGGGGCCCTCCTCCACATCTTACTTACGCACCAATATCCCAACATCAAACTAAATCAGTTGTGTTATAAAATAAGTAAGAATTATGATTAGTTTCTTGTGGCACTTCTGGTGCAAGTCTCAACTGCTTTGTTTCGTGGTAAAATGTTGAGTTTGTGTTTTTTATCGCCTTTACACACGCTAAGCCATCCATAAGGACAGTCAGAAATGTCTTGCACCTGAGCTTAATGGAGACTCTCAACTTTTTCAAGCTTTAAAAAAATTAAACAAATAAAATAGATTTTTTTAACAACCGGAAGACTGTCCTAACAATATTTTAGACCAGTCTTAAATATCTTCTCCTACCCTTGTGCCACTTGTTCTAATTTTCAAGCATGTGATGTTCTTTATGAGCATTCAGTACAAAATCACTCTAGTGAGTTTACAGCTGATTATCTTCCAGCTTGACCAGTTTACACCACAGGCCCTAAAAGGACACGTGTAACATCCTCACAATATTTTGACCCAGGAAAAAACATTAATCACGACACATGCACATTGCTGCTCCTTAATTTTGCAGATCTACATTCATTTCTTTAAATAGTTTTACCTTAAGGATTTGTGCCATTCTTTAGTCTGGATGCTTCTCGCTGTGATGTTAGTGTTATTCTTGCTTTCACTGATTCAGCTCCACTGATCTCTTGAACGTTGGGTGGTACAGCATAATCATGTTACAGAAGAGAGAATTCCTATAAAAAATCAACAAAAACGTTCTTAGATTTATGGAACAAGCCCATGCAACCATCAGTGGCTCTGCATGCAACATGTTGCACAGTGCACTAGCGCACATCTGGAGCACTAGACTGTAAAAGATATTAAATTGTCAGATAATTGTTTTAATGTCTTTGTGTGAATGTACATAGAGTTGAACTAGAGTTTACATGTATTTTATGTCAGTACAAAAAAATCATAAAAAATACAACTTATTTTCAAATAGATTGTTGAATTTGGTATTTATATTTAACATATTTCTTGTATCATACATGTATGTTTTATTCTTTTTTTGCTATAATATTGCAAAATGTGGAGAAAATCATACTGTACATTTCCATATTTGTTAGCACAAGTTTATTGATGCCCAGTTAATGATTGCTGTGCTAATGCTAATCCAGAGTTTCCTCTGAGAAATAATTTTGGGAGACTAGATGAGCTGTTTAAAGTTGATGGCTCAGTGTTTGTGTTTCTATGTATTTCTGTGTTTCTACTTGGTAGGCAGTTAACAGCATGCCTGGAAATTCATCATTTGAAGGGGCAATGCCACTTGACCTTTGGTGATTTTTTGAGAGCACAAAGGCCAAATGCCAGAGCAGCGAGGCCATAAAACACATCTACAGAAATGATACATTTAACTTTTTAGGAGGAACTTATCCCTATCGTCTTCTGTCTTGTGGCTTTCGCTGCAAAGCCTTGACTGAACTGGTTTTGAGGAGGCGGATGTGGGTTGGTGCTTTGTCAAAGTGGGCCAACAAAACATCTCTCTCACTTTAGCTTTTGTATAGTGGGCTGCTCAAGGGGCCCGCGAAGTGATTTCTCACGGTGCCCCCGAAGGCCAATTCAACTATGGATTCTTGTCGTACGTTTTCTCTAGTTTATCACACTTTCTTACCTCCGCGTAGTCGACCTTGTCTTCTCAGTAGTCCACTCAATCACAGCTTTAATGTGACTCATACCAGGCTCAAAATCGACCCCGCCACTGGCTATGTGCGCAGTGTTTTACTTGATGTTGCCCAATAAGAATACAGAATCTCAAAAACTGTGGCCACAGAGGGGCGTAACGGCATGGCCCCTGGGAAATTCCTGCCTTGCTTAACAAGTATGTTCAGTACAGTATAAATACATACAGTATGTACATGTAGATACTGTATGTATCATTCATGGAAGAAAATATAAATTACTCAGCTACTGACCACTACAGTGCCTTTACCATAAAGTAAAACTGTTGTTTTGCTTTTTCTCTGCAGTTCAGGTGGATTGACATACAGTGGATTTTGAATTTGTGTAACAAAATCAAATATTTAAGATTGTGATACTATACCACGTACTTGAGTCTTTGTTGTGCAGCATAACAGATATGCTTTTGTGTTGTGTCCGGTTTAAGATGGACTGTGCTTAAATGACAAAAAGAAAGCTTTCATCAAATTTCACATTGTGCAGCAGAGAAGTGAAGGACGTTCTTAACTGAGCATGCTCTGATGTGATGTTTTTGAAGGAAAGCTTGTCATGTTGTGTCTGGACTTTTGCTTTTTGTATTATATCCATGTAAATGTTATTTCTCTTTTCTGACTTGAAAAAGTAATGTTTCTTTTAGCGGTTCCGGTTTACTACACAAATGCAAGTTTCTCATAAGGTGTTTTCTTATTTGGGCTGGTGGGTGAACATTACAGGATTAGGCGAGTGATCGTCTGTTATTGTCAACAATACCATTACAAGACCTAAATTAAAAGGTTGTTAGTCTATTTCACCATACTTTGTGATTACCCTACCCTGTCTGTGGCAGTCAGGCCCTAAACCATTGGTTCCAACTAAAGAAATGTCTAAAAATTATTAACAAACAAAGTTATTTAAAAAAAAATGCTCTATAATTTACTGGCCAATGTAATTTTTAATGAATGTTACTCAAACATGAATAAATAGTGCAGTTGTTGCTACTATTTTCAGAGGTGGATTAATAAACATTTTATAAATTTTCTGTCCAAAACATACAAGCCCCAAAATACTCACTAGGGCACCAAATGTAGATTACCAGACCAGCTGTTTCCAGAAATTCCTGAGCCTTTAAAAAAATAATAAGGAAATTAAATCTTAGGAATAGTAACAAATGCAATAGTGTAGGAAAATTGGGAAGTATAAAGAGATTAATACGTAGAATTTATTCACAATAAAAAAAAACACCAGCCTTACCCTTTAAACCAGAAGACTTCTGAATATTTATGACACACAACATTGAGCCAACAAGTTAAAAACATTTATTGTCGATGCTTCCAAATGTACAAAAAACCCTTCTAATGTGTACACCGAAACAAGATAAAACGGTGCACTGTGCAGTGAAAGAGGTGGAATGAAAAAAGAAGAGCTCATGAGCAGACAGAAGCAGGCTCACAGCTTAAGTTACTTTTACATTCAGCCATCAGTACACAAACTGCATAACCCCATTTTTACCTCTTAACTGATTTAAACAGGCAATTGGGACAATGACGCAATTCAATAAAAAAACAACCACCATCAAAAAGCTACAAAGAAACACATTTAAATCCAATTTTCTTGTCATGCTATGCAGTAAAAAACAATAAGAAAAGAAAAGAGTACAGCAGTTTTTATGGCACTTTACTTCTCCTCATGTCTGTAAATATTAACATTCAAAGGAAAAGTATTCGATGGGTCCTGATGGCACTAGAGCTACAATTCGATAAATCGTTCACAGTTGAAATCCAATATCCATGTTCCAGCTTATTAATTGCCTCATCCACTCATCACAGCGGATTCGAAAACAAGGACACAGTTCAGATTCCCTTAATGGCCTGAAAGCTCGACCCTCCCTTGTGATTACATCTGCTGGTCAAATGAGATCAAAATGATTTAACACGCATGCATCAGCCTATTAGAGAGTACAGAGGCATTACAGGAGGCTTTATACTTTTAGCAAACACGATCACCATTAAAATAAAAATATGAGAACAATCACTGCGCAATTTTTAAAAATAATGACAGCTATTCACTTTTAACCACAGAAAACTCCATTTACAAGGTACAATGTTGGCAGCTTGTTTCTGTCTCACACATTTAAACTGCAGTTTACTTAGTCACACAGGCTGGCTACAGACCTTTCAAACACTTCATCTAACTACAGTACTTCATACTCTCAAAACAACAGGTTCAAACGAAAAAGTATTCTTGTAATAATAGCAACATCTTTGTCTGACATCAACATAGTACTGGCAATATAAGGCTCCAACTCCCATATTAACACTAAAGGAAATAAGTTTTAAATACAAGACCTGGTGAGATTGTCATAATGTCTTTAATGAACTGGACTGAACATTCAGCTGAACCAGAGCAGAGGTGGTGATTTTCCAGCCCTTTCCCCCCAACATCAGAAGAAGAAACAGGCCCCTCTTCTGGCTGCTGTTGGATCTGCACTGTTATTATTTCAGGTCGCACTGAAACATACACCGTAGAGCAACAGGACAATACAGTTTCTGGTCAGCCCTTCTGTTCTCTCTTTGCCTTTGCCTGGTTCGCACCGAGTCCACCCAGAAATAATAAATTTGGTAATTTGCAAGAGATGACATTTTGAGTAAAACTGGACAAATGTTTCTATGTAATTTTAGTAACTAAGTGTCCAGTAAAAGTCTGATGGACATTGAAATAAAGTTGACTGAAATGATGTTGAAACAAAGGTTATTTGTCATCTAGATGTAAGAAACTAATTTAGCCCAGTTCCAGTCCAGTAACCTAGATTTAGGGCCCACCATTGAGGACGCTGCAGGCTCTCTTTACTGTTTGACTTACTACATTTTAAATTAATTAATTTTCTTCAGTTACTAAATTTTATTGTCTAATTAGAACCTGATACAAAGTTAAATACAGTCTATAAAATTACTGTTGACAAAAAAAATATTAAAATGAGATTAACATGGACAAGAAGTTCTTTAAGTTCTCAGAAATTTGCAATCTTCAATTCAATAGCAACTGGGTGACCTCTACTTACTGATAAATATCAGATACAGAACAACTTTTAATGTAACTTGTGTTGAATTCTCAATTGACTTCTAAAAACGTTTACTTATCAACCTAATTAAGCAACAAAATTTTTGTTTTTTACCTACATGCACAGAGGACACAGAGGCCTTTTCTTATTGTTTCTGGGAATGTGGTGTTTTAAAAAAAATAATTTGAACAATTTTATAATCCAGGTCTGGACTATGGAGCCCTGAAACAGTCAAAATGGTTTAAAAAGGTTATCAGACAAGTCAAAAATATAATTAAAATAAAATATACTGCTATGAATTTTACTCGGGTGTGAAATGAAAGATGAAGTTTCATGCTTTTACTTTACCACCATTTATCTTTAAACAATAATTACTATTTAACAATATTTCGTCTGTTTCAGAACTCCGTACCTGACGTCTTTTCCCTGCAAATTACCAAAACTGTGTTTATTGTGTGTCTTCAAACAGCTAATGAGGAGAAAAACTCATATATATATATATATATATATATACATACACAGTAGAACACTGAACTGAGCAGATGTACTTTTCTATTATTATATTGTCATAAATAATGTGTATTCAGAAATTAAACAGCAAATATGTGCGTTGTTGTTTTGGAGTTTGTCTTTAAAGACACTTCCAGATTTCAGTCATTGCAGAAATGGGAAATTCAACCCTATTTAATAGAAATTTTGCCCCTTGGACAATAGAAAGTGTCTCATATTTTATTGAATATCATAAAGAAAAGTCTGTTGTGGGTCAGGTACGTGAGGCCTTATACAATCCAGTAATCTTGTATTTTTCTGCTGTAGAGAAAAATAAAACGGTTGTGTTGGTAAAATAAGAAAACTATAACATATTTATTCTTGTGTGCAGGTGATATAGTGTGCTGTACATTGACTCACTGAGTTAGTATACAGAAGCACTGCTTAATTCAAAACACTAATCTGTCGTATGTTCTGCTCATCTTGAGCAAAGACGAGTTAAAGTACTTTGAAGGCCTCCAGGTTTAAAATACTGATTTAGTCTTAAGCATCATAAAAGCACTTTGTTCAACCCTTTTCTTTACTTTGCAGTTTCGTTTTGAAATTAACAGACAAATCTCCTCTTTGTTTTAAATCATCAACCGAAGTCAAAATACTTGTTTTGTGCTTAAAGGCACTTTTGGAGACACAAAGAAGAAGAGTCGAGCATTGGGATTCAGAGGATAGTCGAGTCAGACCAAAGGTGAAATCTGCATCAGTCGCAAAGCTATCTCAGCCTCTGCAAACAGATACGGCCGTGCAAAAACTCAGTGAGGAGTCGATTAATTCGTCTTTGGAATGAGAGAATTACCCCCCGAGTTAAAAGTTCCTCTGCGAAAATAACATCCATCTCAATGTGCTTGTTTTCAAGCATTAAGAGAGAAAATGCCACAAGAGACAATAACTGCAGCAAGACAGAGATACTGCAAGATAGCATGAGGGATTTGTCTGAAATGAAACCCTCATTAATCAACATTTTTCAGATGGTAATTGGTGTTACCACCTTCACTTCGACCAGTACAATGTTGAAACTTCCTGCAGGAGGCTGTTGAAGAGGCTCTGTGACAAGAGAATCAGTATTACTAGAGCATCGCCTCCACAACAGCCCAGCACTGAAAGTTCATGAAGAAAAAGTAACTGTTAAGAAATTTAAACATCCAATTAAACACTGAATTCTCACACAACAACAGCAAAAAAAAAAAAACCCACAGACAATAAATGCAATTTCATGCATGCAGTTGAACTCATGATGCTTCAGTCACAAGTTCATTTTCATTGACATTTTCTGTACTAACGGCTGTTTAAAACTACAGACGCGCTGACCTCCAAAGGTGTCTTTTTCTCAGACGTCTAGTTTTCAGGGCTGAGATTTATAGAGAGGTTTGTGTTTGTGGTCGTAGTTGGCAAACCTCCCCAACCATCCCCATTTAACCCTGGAGGGGTTTTAAACTCTGTTTTTTTGGCATTTCACATAACCGTAGAAAATATGTCCTTCTCGTCAATACTGCTTTTTCACTTGTTAGATCCAGAAGAAATTTCTCCTCAACATTCCTCAGTCTGGTTGTCTTCATCACCCATTAAATTGTTTTGTTTTATCCGTCACTGTTTACACAGGAATCGAAGGATTGTGCCAGTACACAGTCACAGTTTAGTTGTTAATGTGGTTGGATGTTTTCCTCAGCAAGGAACACGTTCAATAAGTCTCGGTAAGACTCCGCTGACATCAGCCATAATGTTTCAGATGACCATTTGCTTAATCAGTAACATCAAAATATTTAACAAAAATAGTCATTCTGTACATTAGGGAGAGTAAGAATCGAAGCGGCAGAGGCCGAGATATGAATTTGAGTCCAGAGTTTGGGGTAAGTTCCAACAACACATTTCCCACAATGCAGCAAACAATAACCATTTAATGGATCCTCCTCGCTTAGTAAATACCCACATCTTCCAAATGCCATGCCCATAGTTTATATAACAGGTTTCCAAGCTGAAATAACCCTGAAGACATCACTAGGATTATTTTTCAGGTCCTTGAGATCCACACAGGCTGATAAGTACTCAACGTGACAATTTAACTTATCTTCATGTGTAAAATCATGTTATTTACATTGCCATGTGTTGTCTGTCTTTAAGTAAACTATTTCAAATGGCAAGGCAACTGAGACGTCTATTTTAATTGGAATACAGACTGTAGTTATAGTCTAAAATACATTTTGAGGATTAAACTTAAGGACAAGTGTGAAAACTTCCTCAGACAGACTGGAATGATCACTGTGAGAGGGCACATACTGTAGAGCTGCAGTAATAAACTGGTCCCACTGTGCTATACAGCAGCGGAAACTGTAGCACCAGACAACTTTGAACACTGATAGAATATATACAGAGACATAACCATGCTTTTTTCTTCATGTTACAGCCCAGCAAGACACTGAATATAAACTAGAAGTCCTAATCATGCCCTTTGAAATTTAAAGGCTTAGCCTATACCGGACGACTAAGTGTGTTTTTCACTTCGGCTGCATCCGAACCAGGTCAGAGGTCGGGACATGAAGAGATTCATTATGTGGCACCTGACTTTCAGGTTCGGTCATGTTTAGGGTTGAAGCAGGTCAGACTAGAGGCTGTTCTGGGTCGCTGGAGTTGAGTTGGGTTTCCATCATGGTTTCGTCTGGGTATGGGTTGGGGTATGGGTTGAGGAACGGGTTGGTGAAGCTGGTCATCGGGACGAGGGTAGATGTGGCAAGGTTGGAGGTGTCAGGTCCGGAGGCGGCGTCGTTGCCGGACATGGCGTCCCCGTCTGTGCCGCTCAGGTGGCCGGGGTCTCGGCCTGCAGGCTGGACATGCGGATCTGTGAGCTGCTCTTGCTGAGGATGGACAGCTGCGTGCCCCCGTTCACCCCACTGCTCGCCAGTGAAGGATGCCGGTGCTTCAGGTCCACAGCAAAGTACCTGTTCACCGTCCAGCTGCGCCATTTCCTCTTGATCTCCGATTGCACCTTGAGGGATATACTTCACAAGGTCATTATTAATGGACCTCGCTGGAAAGAGACAAGCTCACTGTCACTCAGTCTCACTCTAGCTCTGTCTGTGCTGTTTGTCAGGCTCAGTGTTTTAGATTTTTACTGGTTTTCATTGAAAAATACAATTGTCTTAAAAGTAACAAGTTCTTTAAACCAAATTTTTGCTGGAATTTATGCCCCCACACATCCAAAATCAATTCCTGCTTCATAAAGAAGCTACGCTAAGAAAATAGTCCATATAACAGAGAGTGAAAAAATGAATAAGCTACTAATTATGTGCCAGATAAAGAACAGTTAAAGTGTCACATCACATTTCTACAAAAAAACGTCCTGGATTTCCAGTTTTTTTCATAATCACAAAGACAATTCCAGATGTTTTTGTTTTAAAATAAAAAAGTGTGAGCCTCATTCATAACATAACTCAGATTATTTGCATTTCAAACCTCATCTATTCCTGATCAGTACTTAGTCAGTAACAGTATTAAAGGAGGTTTACCTCTCCATTCAGGAAGCAGTAGAGGACGGCCACCACAAAACCCTGAAGAGACACGGAGGATGAAAGCAAGAGACAAAAAACACACTGACTGAAACAAATGCTCAAGCATGCACCATAACTTTAACTTTCCACAATCTGTACACAGATTGTCCTTTTCTAAATCCAAGCCGTGATGGAGAAACAGTCACCTGGAAGGATCCGAGGCCGAGCTCAAACACCAGACGCTCTCTCTTGCTGACGTTCTCAGGGGAGAAGGCAAACACAGTGTAATGGATCCCAAACAGAGGAATCAGTAGCAGAGTGGAGCGGGCCAACCTCCTGCACAATAACACAACATTATGATGAGAGGGCTAGACTACAGTATGTGTGTCCTCATTATAATTAGCTCACACACGCATGTACAGTATGCATGATAACTGGCCCCATCCTCTGTCTGGTATTTGACACTTTTTACGTGTTTTTTCAACAGAGGGACGCGGAATAATTACATCCCTAGTCCTTAACTGTATGATAATCATTGTTTAAAGAATTTATACACAGTCTCTGAGGTTTATTGTACTTCAGTGATGAGGGTACTGTAATCTCATTACTTCTGATCCAAGTCAGATTCACCAAACCCTCAACTGGACAAGCCTGTTGTAAATCACTCATTTCAGCCTGAAGACTGTCAGCTGTTCATGATCCTTGTGAGATTTCATTATCAGTATAATCTACACTCATAAATTTGCCCTATGAGGCTGCCTGAATGCGTGAAAAAATGTTATGTCGTTTAATTGCAGAGATGTAGAAAACTAAAATGAACTCAAAACACAGATTACATAAATACAGACAGTGTTTATATGTGCTCATACAGGACAGTGACCTCACAACATCTGATCTTTACAGCAACATCTCAAGAGTCATCTTGAAATGATTAATGTAATGAACAAAATCACTTTATAGTCGAGCAGAAAATGTCAAAGCAAATGTTAAATTACTCACAGGTAAATGCTGGATTCATTTCCACCGATATCTGGGGACTGTAACTTCTGGACAAGGATGACGATGATGCCAATGAAGAGCACGAAGTTGATCTGTACAAAAAAAAAATTAATATGAGAAAACAACAAATAAACATTTCTATGGTAATGGAAGGTTTGTTTTTGTTTTCTCATTATTCAAAGTGATGACATACCATAATTGAAGCCAGCACAGGTCCCTTTATCACCCACCAGATGGCAGCATTGTCATTCATGTCCCAACACCTTAGAGAACATAAAACATGTTCAGCGCATGATCTGACAGGCTTCAACATGAGACTAAACTCTGTTGTTCATAACCTACCCTATATTATCAAAGTGTAGCTTCAGCACTGCCCAGATGGTCACACACACTGTGGGGGCTCCTGTTGCAACAATAAATTACACACACATAAAAAAACATGATGCAAAAATTATTTAAATGATGCCTCCACTGGGAATTATACCCATTTGATCAGATAAGAAATCTAGTGTGTGATGTGGTATCTGTCTCACCCCAACCGATGATGATGTACCAGTAGAAGTATCTCTTTTCAGGGAAGAAGGTCTCCACCAGTAAAGTAAACAGGTACAGGCCCTCGATGAAGAGCCAGAAGTAGTTAGAAAGGACGCAGTAGTGGAAGAATATCATCACTGCTCGACACTCCAGCTTCAAGGTAAGAAGGGACAAAGAAACAAGGACAAATGTCACAGTTGTTAAAATCGTAGTAAATGTTTGAACAAATCACCTTCTGCCTGTTAACATGAGAAGAGAGAGCATTGTGGGCATGTGTGAGGGCGTGTTTGTGCTACTCACAGTGTGCATGAAGCAGTGCTCGCTGTCCTCTTTGGCATACAGCACGCCGTCTTTGATGAAGACTGAAATAGCTCTCAAGATGAACGACACAAATAGGTTCATATGGATGAAGTTTCTGGTACAGTGCAGCTTCCTGTGTAGATGAAACAGACATACTGTTTCATTAATGAAAAACACTACACTACAATATACTGACATGTTTTTACTATTGCTATTCATTTATAAACACCAATACCGCTTTTTACTGCTGTTCATGCAGTAGTAGATGCAATTATATAGCGGCAGCAGTAGTGGGAGAAGAGATAATAATTGTAGTAAAAGCAGTAGTGGTAGTAGAACTGTAGTAGCAGTTGTAGTCGTACCTGAACCTGCACAGGATGACCATGGCCATGGTGAGGGAGACCAAAGAGGTGCTGTAGCCCACAGTGTACAGAGCCTTCACTGACACAAAGTACATATCCTGGAACGGAAACACAAGCACAACAAGCACTAAACAAACAGAGTGTTTTTCATATGAAATGTCTAATTGAAACCTTGAATCTAACACAGCTGCAGACGCAGTAATACACTAACCGTATGGCTGCTGTTTCCTTCCTCATACAGGCAGGCGTCAATGTAATGAGGGAACGTCTCCGACCAGCCAAACTCAGTGCAGTTACGACTCACCTTTCCCACCTCTGTGGACACGGGGCACTTTATTTGATTATGGCAAACACAGACTTATTTCTAGAGTGTAATGAGAGCTGGAGCTAAGGTAGTTACCACCTCCAATATCATGCATATCTTCAACATTTTTTGCAATTTTATTCTAAAAATCAATAATACAGTTGGAAGCCCTTAATTTGACATGTACAATGCAACACAGAGAATGGATTTCTCACACACTGTATGATTCATAATACATCAAACAGCCTGAAGCCATGACCTTAGCCAGAACTTAATTCTAACCCTCAGCCCTAAAGTTGGGGATTATCCAACTTTCCAAAAATATCCTTACTAAAAAAGAAAATTGTTACTTCCCCAAAAAGTTGGGACTTGCATAGGTATCAACTCATAATGTGCACAAGAGTGCACGCTCATCAATTTCAACACTGCAATTCACTGAAATGGGATCACACAGTCTCCACACTGCAACAAGATATGTAAACAGGCAGCCTCAAAAAGCCCAATTAAATCAACAGAATTAGCCGGTGATGGTAATCGTGTAAGGAAAGTCGTTAGTAACTGACCGTAGTCTTCTTCACTCATGAATTGAGAGAAGAGTTCAGGACAGATGACTTCGACCACCTCACCAATCCTGGCAGGCTGCCAACATGTCAGATTGTCCCACATCCACGGACAACCTGAGGACACAACAGGTAGACACCACGTAAGTGTTACATTCTAAAAAAAAAAGTCAATGAGCCATTTATTCATTTTCAGAAAAGAAAAATTTCACAATCACAGATCCTTCAAATTCCCATTTGGTAGGTGTAATGTCAGCTCCCATGCAGTACAAACAACAGAGAAAAGCAAGATAATATTGGGCATTTTATGTTTGATGATTGGTTATTGTAATCTACTTTTTGTAGATGAAACACGAATTTATAAATCGGTGGGACACAATCATGGAGGTTAACTGAAAAAATGGCTGCATATAGGCCTAATTAGAAATTGGGAACAATCGTCTGGGTTTGCATTGATGGTGCTTGCAGCAATAAAAAAGCTAAAAGAAGATGAAAAAATTTCCAAGTCTAGTTATTGCCTTAGTTAACTCTTTTTTGCAGCTAATATTCCAATAAAGCAACCTAAGTAGTATATGTAACAACAACACAAATAACATCTTTGAAAAGACCGTGCTAGTTTGCTGTGCAGATATACAACCTTACAAGCTACTGTACTTGACATCAAGTCGATATGAATATAATCAATCCTCATTTAAACACATTATATTAATATCATTGTGTAATCAGCCATCCTTCAATGCTGCTGGATGGCAACAGAGATGTAGAAGAAAATGCAGATTGTCTTAAGGTAAACGTATTGGCAAGCATTTATGGGATAAATCCCATTTATATCACATTTGTATGACACCCTTTTCACTTTTGAACTCTTTGAGACTGGAAAAATTCCAATAAATCTGCATGTAACAAAATAATAATAAAAAAAAGTGTAGAGCACTTATCAAACAAAGTACAAAGAGCCTTCACAGAAAGATAAACACAATCAAATCATAGCAGTCAATAAGAGAACATTTCCTGTTCAGCCTTTCTAACATCAATTTATGATGAAAATGTTTTATTTATGTAAAGTGAAGTATTACAGAATATAATGCATTGCAGCTCTCATTCTGTGTTGCTTTCACATATTTTTCTCCTGTAGATCAACTTTTCTCATGTAATGTCATCCCTGATGAATTAGCAGACATGCAGGCATTATTTAGTCTTCCCTCCTCTTTTGTCATGTTCACAGAGAGAGAACGGAAAACTTGGCCGAATAGAAACTGTGACAAGAAGTTGTTAAAGTTACTGACGGGTGCTGTACGTTTTGGAGTCATTTTATAATCAGTAGCTTGTTTTATCTTATTTAAAAATGCAAATGAACCTTTCTCAAAGCGCTTTCTTTGGTTCGTTGCCGTTTCATGTTGCAAGCTATTTTTCAAAGCATTTATAACAAACGCTTTCAAAAAGTGATGGGGACATGTGCCCAGGGTAAATAACACTGTTTTATCCTGTTGACGTTAAACTACATTACATCCAGGTTGTTGCCGCTGCTCTGAACAGCTTAGCTAACATTACTGGTGAATAACAGCAAGCAAAGTTATAAACTTGGCAACATCACTGTATCTGACAGGACAGAATTGTAAGATAGCTTACTTCTGGGCTTGTTTCCCGACGTACAGCTCGTTTGTCTTTTACCATCCTCACGTGTTCAGCTGTCAGACTGAGGACTAACTGGTAGGCCAAAATGCTGACTTTATTAATGACCAGCGCCCCCCAAAAGGTGAGGAGTTTGCATGCCTGAGCTCTGCTTTTGGAAGACAACTCCAAAGCAAAAGAGACTCATGAACAAGGTTAACAAGGAGAATTGGCACAAAGCGGCCTCTTTCTCAGTCTGAACTTCCCTTCATTCATCAAATAATAAGCCAGAGAGACGCCTGTCGCTCACTGTCTCCCTGATCAACTGTAATTTGTCAGTTCATCAGCACGAGATGCTGCCATCTCATGGGAGGCTCGGCCCCTCCCTGACTCTGGAGATAGAGCCACAGAGTGAAACAAAATTATTAATGTGCTTAGCTGAATTACTCTGTTGGCCCTGCTTTAGCTTCCTGTGCTACAAATCAAGCAAAAATACACACAGGGAAACTGTGAAGCCTTTCTAATGTATTTACAGACAAGCAGGTCAGAGTCAAGTACAATTTGTAGAATGATCTCCTGCTCATTAGTATGGAGCCCCTGGAATTATTCTTGTTATTAATCTCTATGTTTATTCTTTTCTTTATATTAATTAGGCAACAAAATAGTGGTTAACATGAGGGGAAGGGATTAAAGGCTAAACAAACACACACTGACAGAAACCTACCAAATTCTGGATCGTTCCCAGGATCATCCAAGGCCATCATTTCCATGCATTTCTCCTGCTCCCTCTTGATCACACAGTTAGGAGGCACCTGTTGGCTCCAAACCTGAAAAAAAAAAGCATGAACATACACACAGAAATACGCACACCACAGAGAGAAAAAGAGAGTCAAGTGGCTGAAGATTACATCAGAGCAAAGAGGAACAACCCAAAGGTAAAATGGAAGAGGCCGCTTTATTAGCTTCACAATGCGGTTCATACCACAGTGTGGGAGAGGTCTTAGCTCTGGGATCTGTTTAAACACTCAACCAATTAAACAAACCATTTCAGAGCTGCTGGCACTCTCCCCATGCTAACTGACCCAGAGGAGGGGCATTATTCTAATGAAAACAAGGCAGGAAAGGCTTTCAGACGTGCACTTTTCACACTGGACCGTGCCAGGCGGTACTCCCATCTGTTACAAGCCGACACACAGAGAAGATTGTTTAAACTTGTACACACAATCGAAGCCAGAGATCACAGCGGCAGCCTGAGTCCCAGAGCTGCGACTCCAGACATGGAGGTTACATCCGGAGACGCCGCCTTCATAGCCCCTGTGACAGCTGCATAATGCTGGCCTGACACGGTGACTGAGAGAGGGGGTTAGAGGTGGGTGTCTGGTGAGACGATGACTTTGTGTCTCTGTTGGCGTCAGTCCGGGAGATGCCACGTCACAGCTTGATGAGATGTAGCGGAGGAGCAGTTGAGCATTTATCCGCTGACGTCAACAGCTCTCGCTTGGGATTCATGCACTGAAGATTTACCAGAGTAATAGAGACACAGTGATTTGGGGGCACTGAGCGGACGAAGTGTCGACACACAAATCTGTATCGATGAAAGTGCTGGATGATTTATGTGCTGCACTTTCTAGCAACAGCGCCATTTCTGCAGTGGTACAGCTGGTTCCATGCCACTGGCAGAAAAAGCACAGGTGTTTGGATTGATGACATCCTCTGGACCACAGTTATGAGTATGTGGATGTTATTTCAACATTAGTTCGACCTTGTAGAAACTACTTTTGTCACATTATTGGGTATGGAGGAAAAAATATTAGTTTTTTACCTCCACAATCGATTATATGAAATAGTAGCATCAGCCTTCAGCTTTAAAGCAGCTCAGACTAATATTTTTACATCAACAGATCAAATAACTACTGCATGTGTATAAATGAAAGGGCTTTTGCTCAAGGGTCAAACCAAAAGAGAATTATCACCTGTCTCTGCAATCTTCCCCCTCTACTAATTTTTTAGTGTCATCCCAGTGTTTTGGTTTTCCAGCCCTCAACTTCAGTGTTTTTGTTCAGTCTAAGCACTCTCTTCAACCTCATTTCCAACACCAGCACTGCTCAACCCAGATACACCCACAGTACAATACTCCCGCACCAAAAGGCAGATATGTCGCATTCCAGACCGGTCGGAACTGGGAAATGTCCAAGTTGAAATATCCGACTCTCAACCTGAAAGCGGCGCCGAAAGTGAACGAAAAACATGGCTGACCGTAACAAACTCATTGTCAAGTCTGCACCCAGTTGCACCCTCAGCACTGCCCTTGGTGTTTTTTAAAATGATGGCCGTTTTAATGAAAACAATGGATTGAAGTGGTAATCCTCAAAAGTCTGTAAATGTTGTAGATTATACTCCCTAATGTTGTCAAATGTTTTGGTGTTTTTAACATTTTACTGAATAACTCTTTTGAAGAGAAGATGACTTTCAGAGCTTCTTTACTGTAATCAGCTACCTAATAACATTGGCAAAACATCAGTTTTCATGCAGGACAGGTTTTACTCTATGATAGCATGAATTCTTTTAATTTAAATACATGGAAATATACTTTGTTGCCTTTTAGTTTGTTATATGTGTTCTTCCATGTGAGCTGCCATTGTTGTGTGACGTCATTCAGCTGCTACACGTGAAGTCAGGGGTAGATATTTCCAACTTCAGGTGGCGTTCCACGGTACTTTTTCTAGTTGGATTTCCCAGTTCAGAGTTGCCTGGAATGCAGCAATAGACCAAGTTCACTACTAGCCGGTTTGCTACTGCAGCTATAAGCAAACTGCAATTGAATGTGTCTGACATGCAACTATTTTGCAGTAACAAACAGGCTCAAACTAACATTTACCTGAATTTACCAGAATGTGAAAATTTCAATCTACATTTTATTTAGACAACATCAGCATGATGCAACTAAAGTGTGGTTTAGGTACATTAAAGAACAGAAAAGTAAAACCACTTGGACAAAACCACACAGGTGTTTTCACTTAGTCTACCTGATTAGACCTCAGCTCAGGTTAAAGTTGGGTGGAGCTATACTGAAAATTGCATCAGGTCACCAAACTGACGAAACCAATAAATTGTCCAGGTGCAACGAACCCAACAGAAATGTCAATTATTCAAAGTCTGTACACCCCCACACAGAAATGAGAGGTCTAATCAGGTAAAATAAGTTGAAAAACCTGTGGAGGTGCTTTCAGGCTAAAGAAACATGCGGGTCACAGACCGGTTAAATAATAAAAAACGTTGGTGCTTTGATAGATCATATAATTAGAGTGGTACATTGCTTTTTACCTTTCTGTGTTTGAGATTTAAGGCCTAACTAAAGTTGAGTGCATTGATTCATTATAATTTAGGTGCAAAAAAGATCAACACATGCAGTATGAGATGTGATTTAAACCTGGACCACAAAGTGTTTTATGTTTTAGATACACATCCCCCCTTCTGACCACATGGGCTCACTTATACCTGCTTTATAGTCTGTACTTCATTATTTGGCACTGAATGCTGACAGTGAACATCAATCCTTAATGCCGATTAAGTGCAGATGAACTCGGTCTGCAGAAATGATGTGTGTTTGGAGCAGCAGGAAATGCCAAACACACTGTGTGAGTCCTGAAGAGTGTAAAGTTTCTGTGCATCTGTGTTTATTTTTTCTGCTTTGTAACCTCCTGTGACTAATATCACATCTGTCTGCCCTCAGTCACAATATCCAGTTAGGTCAAACTGTGTTTGCCCAGCATGATGTACATGACTGAGTGTGTGTGTCACAATATTTAAAACTAATGCAGCTGCTTATGATGCTTAGCGTTCAGTGAGGCTGCTAATTTAAATTTGTTTGATCAGTTATCAGTTATTAATTATTGTTATAAAAAGTGAGTGTGTGTATATATATATATATATAATGTGTGTGTTTAAAAAAATAAATGTAATGGTGCCCAGACAGTATTTTTATTAACAAAGTTTTTTGTTCATAAGCTTTCCAGGCGTCAGTAACAAAGGACCAGAACAATAATAGGTTTCTTATCAGCAATTATTACTTTTTATTTTTAAATTTATATTTCATAAAGGTTGGACAGCAAACTTCAATTTGTGGAAAAACTTATTTTTTTTAAAGCACAGGGTTTTAATCAGTGACGTCTATTTCCTTTAAGTTCGCCCCCATTAAACCCTAATGTTCCGATTAGGCATTAGGAATGCTGACAGAGGGCCGACCAGGACTAAACACAGCATATGGCGAGTGATCAGTCTGCTGATCTCTTGTCAGATAGGCAAACTCTGCGTATGTGTTTTCATATGTTTCCGTTTTTACTGTATCTCTCCATCCCCCTGGTTTAAAAGTTCCACATTCACACACTGCTCACCACAATTAACCTGAACATCTGTACTTAACATCTAAAAATACGCTCGGTCATTGCAGCAATAATAACTCTCTCACAGATTCGTCTATATAGAGTCTTGATTTTAATTCCCACACTTTAATGCCCATCTGTTCAGCTCCCTGTTTTATCTACATACTGCAGCAAAACAAGAGTGTAATATACTGTATGTTGTGCACAAATACATCCCTCTCTGCCTTCCCCTCCTTCAAATGTCTTGTTGTCATCCACCATCTTCTTTAAACCTCATCCCTCACTTTCTCAGACAACACAGCTCAGGGGTGATGATTCACATTTAACAACAGTAATAAAATATCACATTACTTCAAGGAGGGTTAGATCAAGGGCAACTGGACTTGGTTGAAGGAACTTGAAGACGTTTCACCTCTCATAAGAGGCTTCTTCAGTTCAGAACTAAAGAGCTGTTGTAAGGGACATGTCCTGATTCTAAACCCTTGATAAGGTAACTTCAGACCTCAAACCCTGTTTGCAAATTGCTGTTGAGTCTGTTTTCACGTGGATCATTTTAGCTGCACTTACATGTGCTTACTGCTTACTCATACACACAGAAACTGAAGCTAGATTTGATAGTTTATCCTTTGCATGCATAAGAAAAGTAAAGAATAAAGAAAAACAATTTAACTCAGCTCACCAAGGGTAAGAGGAGGACGAGGACGAGAATCAGCGGGCTGAAGATAGCAGCAGACATTTTGTGTTTCATAGTCAGGGGTTCCCTCCTAATACTGGGCTCAGATGGACACAACAGGACGTCAGCACACTTTGGGATCTGAAAAACACAAGAGTGTGGGACATTTAGAGACAGGATGTCTACACAATACATCTCACCAGGACATGTACATTACATTACAGTGTCTTTCGTAAGTGTCTCTTCACTGTAAATCCCTGTAAAGCAAATCCAAAAAAAGCAAAGTACTCTAAATCTAAACAACAGAAATATTTTAGAAACCGTTTATAAAATCTCCATTAAATTCAATTCCCCAAAAAGAAAATATGTGAAACACGTAACTAGTTTCCTCCTTAATCTATTGCGGTTGCAATTGTTCATGATAAGATGGTGAAAATGTTCAACCTTTATCATCAGAAGATATCAATATAAAGAGCAAGTCTCTATATTTATCTGGAAGAAGTTTTCTAGATGCGTTTTCACAAGCATTTAGCTGACTGACAGAAAATACTGCTGATTCATTTTCAAGCAAAAACACCAAACATAGGTTCCAGCTTACTAAATGTGAGGATCTGCTGCTTTTCTTTGTCTTATGTGATAATAAACATTTTTCTCCCCACACGTTTTTAACAATCTTCAACTGTTACTCACTCAATAATTTGGTCCAACAGTTTGGACCAAATTACCAAATTATTAATTGATCAAATTCAATAAATAATTTGCAAATTAATAAAAATTACAGGAAAACTGTGCTTCTTAGAAATGCAGTTTAAAAACACAGAAAATACTTAATTAATACCTTTACCTTCCTTTGCATTTAAACAACTGTAGGCAGCTATTACAAAGATGTTGTCAGATTATCAAGTGATTGTCTTTTCAAACATGAGGACAAGCATGTCAAGTTGCATGTCTGCAATGAGCCCATGTCCCTGTATCTGTGTGTCCTCATGCACGCAGCCTGACTCTGCAGGCCCGCCGGGTTTGCACAAGTAAAGCCAAGTAGCAGGGCCGAGCACTCGGGCCTCGTCCCACAGGGAGAGCTTGGCAGCTTGGCATTCTTAATCAACCAAAACCCTGCCAGCATCAAGCCCCTCCTCGCTGCCGTTGTCAGGAGCAACAGCTGAGAGAGCTGCTGAGCTTGGATCTGAACTGAACCACGTGGACCTGGAACCTCCTTCTGGTCCTTCTCCTGCTCTACTGTAAATAGATTCCCTTAGGTTTCATAATGTTCTTCAGTTTGTAAATTATAATAAACATCACAACTTCACGAAAACTAAATCAACCCAAATTTCAGTATGTATTTCAGTAGAAACACACTAATTTGTAGATGCAAACCGAGCACATCTGATTTGAGTCTGGTACACTGAATATTAATGCATTACAGACACACACAAACAGTACCTTCATTCATATTTTGCTAGAGTAAATCAAAGACGGACACACACAAACACGCTGAAAGAAAATCTGGAAAATAACAAAACAGGACATAACATGAATGGGAGTCTGCAGCTTTGCCAAGGCCACCATAATGGCTACTGATTCTCTCCCATAAAAAAAGCTTTCATGGTGAGTGCTCCAGCACAAACTGTCTTTAATTCATTTGAAGAAAAATACACTCACATGTTAAAAGCAACCACAACACTGATGGTATCTCAGTGGGAGTCGTCTCAGTGTGTGTGTGTGTGTGTGTGTGTGTGTGTGTGTGTGTGTGTTTAGAGAAAGAGAGAAGGAGAAAAAAAAACAAACAGAAAGCTAAATCATAAAATAGGCGCACTTTCCATGATTTAGGAACTTAAAGTTCCTCAGAAAGAGTTTATACTTTGATGGTAACCTCATGCTGCACTAGGAGGAAAAACCAAAATGCCCAAATGATAAAATCATCACTCATTTTTAAATAATGCCAATGATTTCAAATTGCCCTTTTCTCATTAACTGATTACTTATTGAAGCCTTAATATACAGTCACATTAGCTTTCCATTCAGCATAATCACCCCAACATTCTTCCCCAACAGAGGATGTGATGCCGTTTTTTTATTTCAATGATTAAAGTACATTATCTGATCAGAGACTAAGTGAACAAGATTAAACATTGGACCAGACCAGACCAGTTTCCAAGTGCCACAGACACACTACCCAAAGGGGAATAAAGAGGATGTTTGACACCAAGCCCCATTCATCAGTCGTGCAGGCTGCAATTTAAGTGAATGGGAGATAAAGCGTATATTTGAAGAGAGAGTGCGACTATACTCCAACATGCCTGGAACCACAGACAACTTCCACACTCAACCTCCTGTCAGGTATTTATAACAAATACAGTATGTATATGATGGATGTCAGGTGTTACTAGCTGACATCATGGCCCTGTCTTCTGGAGGAGCACTGTGTCGAAATGTATTTTTAGACTTTTATTATTTTCATGTATATTGCGCTCATACGGTGAATATTCCTATAATTGTGTTAAATCCAATTTTCAGCAAATCCGGCAATATTGCAACGAGCAGAGCTCAAACAATCTACTGGTAACAGAATGTGAAAAGGGCAATGATGAGAAAGAGTTGTAAAGCAAATGGTATTTATTAAATCCAACTTCTGCAAAAAAAACATTTTTGCAGTTTTTGTTTTTAAATATTAATTGGTCAGATATTCAATAAACACCAAAAATGAGTGTGTTTAAGCTACTGGATGCCAAAATTTCCACCGGGATCAATAAAGTATCCATCCATTCTATTCTACTTATTCACTTCTCATCCGTTTTAACTGTCCTTGGATAAATATGACCTTAATGACTGAGAATCTTCACAGACATGAACCATGTACCTGTGAAAACCAAAAGGCTTTTATGGGATACTAAGAGAACCAGACACAACTCAGGTGTGCGTCACTGAGGAAACAGACTTATGTTGCCTGCCGGTACTGTGGAACGCCACTTGAATTCAACAAACAAAACAAAAAATATGTGCCCCGACTTCACGAGTAGCAGCTAAATGAACTCAAACAATGACAGCTCCCTGGAACCACACATTGTAAATGGTATACCATATAATAAAAAGGCAACATAAAGTACATGTATATATTTTAAAATAATTGCCTATATATGCTTTCGTATAGTAAACACAATTCGGTTGTTAATTAATGTAGAAATACTGTATCTTGCCTATGTTATTAGGTAGCTGGTTACATTAAAGAATCTCTAAGTCATCTTCTCTGCACAAAAGTTATTCAGTAAAATGTTAACAATACCAAAACATTTGAAAACATTAGGAAGTGTAGCTTGTAACCTACAACATGTACTGACTTCTGAGGATTACCACTTTAGTCACTTGTTTACATTAAAACGGCCATTATTTTAATTAACACCAAGGGCAGTGCTGAGGGTGCAGCTGGGTGCAGACTTGACAAAGAGTTTGTCACGGTCAGCCATGTTTTTCATTCATTTTTGGCATCGCTTTGAGGTCGGAAATCAGATTTTTCAACTGGGACATTTCCCAATTCTGAGCAGTCTGGAATGTGGCATTAGTCCCACCCACAGTTGTGGTTACAACCAACTATATATAGTCATACCACCAATACTATCAACAATAACATTTTTCAGTTAGAAGTGAAGGAGCACACGCTATAATAATACACATGGCATTATACTGTACATGGATACACATACAAGGTTTATGGTTAATCACACATTTTAAAAAAGTAAATAAAACAAAACTTCAGGAAGTGAGTGTGTTACACAGCAGCTGCTCAGGACCCTCCTCCCCGAGCTGTAATCAGTGGTTTAATGAGTCTCAGCGGCTTTCATTTTCAACACTGTCAGCCTGAGTGTGCGTAATGTTTGATTCTCCATCTAAAGAGCACACACACAATTAAAGAAACACACATGCAGATAAAGGAATGTTCACCCTCCAAACCAAACATTTAGACATTGGTCTTTACTTTAGGCGTATGATAGCACTAATGAATACTTAGGCTCGGCTCAGCTGCACCCAAGAGGGGAAGATAAACAAAGCAGGCAATGGAAAAGTAAGAAAGCAGAGGGAAAGAACATGTGTGTGGGAGTTTGAGTTAGGAGAAATAATTCCTCTTGGGAGAGGAGGAATAGTCTCTCTCAGGAATAAGCAGGAAAGGAGAAGTGAGGCTTTCTTAGTGATCACTCACCTATAATGCTGCTGCTCTGCCGAGAGAAAAGCTTTAAAAATGATGTGATGAGATGCATCATTAGAGAGAAAAAGAAAGGAAATTATGGAAGGAAATAGGGAAAGAGGGAGGAAAGAAAGAATGAGTGAGCCACTTTGAGGTATGTCTTCATGTTTGCCTTTGGTGGGACACTGGGAGCAGTTTTGTCCCTCGGGACATGTTCTTGTCAGGTTTTGACAGCTGTTGTGGCCTGGAGAGTACAGACATGCACCAGCTTATCCTCCTCTCACTAACAGCCCCTTAACCCCACACTCTTCTTCTCTTTCTACCTCTCATCTAGTGAACAATGCTTCTTTCTTCAGAAATAAAATAAAGAAAAAAGAAGGAATTCTTATCCATGCGGCTTCAAGAATCATCATCTAATGAGTTAATCCAGCATTTGGACCGTCTAATTCCCAGTGAATATCACAGTAAGTCACTCAAGTCTCAGGCTCTATATTTAGCCCAAGGAATTATGGGAGGAATTAATATACACAGACATGACTTAGTCTTCATTATTTTGGAGAGGGAGAGGGAGAGGGAGATGCACATATTACACAGAGAGAGAGTATGAAAACTGTCCTGATTTCTCGCTCCCATTATGTCCCGTTTTTCCCACAATTCCTTGGGGAGCTGCGTAGTCACGGGATTGAGGCAAAGACACTTTGAAACACAAAATAAAGGAGAAGCTAAAATAACATCATACCGGACGAACCGGATGGTTGTTGGTTCAAGTCCAGCACGGGCCACTGGCAAAGGTGCCCTTGAGTAAGGCCCTGAATTCTGCATGCGCTGTACTGTTATTAAATTGTATGTGGCCAATGAAGTTGAAGTATTTAAGTATTTATTAACTAAATAGACTTACTCAAGTAAAAACAGTTTCACACAAAGCAATGTTTACAGACAAAGTCGCAGAGGGACGCAGTTTCGG